GCGGGCCCGGGCCGTGTGGTGCTGCTACTGCCGGCCGACCAGGTGGGTCGCTTGGGGCGGGAGAGTGGAGACGCAGCCCCGGGACCCAGGTCCCTATACCCCTTGGTCCCCCTGCCCCTTGGTTCCCTGACGTCTAAGTTACCGCTGAATTCCTCCAGCTGCACGTCGGGTTCAGGTCCAGCGTCTCCCCTTGGTTACACGGCCTTCTGCTAAGGCGTCTCCAGGGTTTCCCTGTTGGAACGGCTCGAATCCTAGCAAAATTACTAGATCGCGCTTCCTGGTTCCTCAGAGGCCAGAGCCTTAAGCGTCCTGGGTGTTTCAGGTATTCGGATGACCTTTAGACGCCCAGGTGTCTCGAGTAATTGCTTGTGTGTCTGTCGGTGTTTGGGGATGAAGAAACTGAGGTGGCCTGCCCCGAGCTACACTTAACGGACTTTAGTCTGGGAGCGTTCCCCTTTGTGTGCTGGTGGGAAGTGAAAACCCAGGGAGTGGACAGTTTCTGAGGATGGGTTGGTAGCGTCTGTCTGGGCCCTGGGGAGGCAGAGCTGTGTTGCTGCTGTGTGGTGTATGATCTTAGTTAAGAGCATGAAGCAATCACTTAACAGGCTGTGTTGTTACGGAGATACCCACTGTCCTTTGACGTGTGTATAGCAAGTTACAGTCTTAGCGTTTTTAGTCTGTAGTGACAGGATCTGTAATGTTATTTCTTTTCTCCCCGCCCTGTTAGGGTTTTACTTTTAGCGGGATCTGTCGTATGACTTGCCTCTATGGCCAAGTGGAGGTATTGGGTTTTATCATCAGCCAAGGCCAGCCTGCCCAAGATATCTTCTCTGCTTATACCCACACTTCCCTGACCATCAACGCAGTCCATTACTCCATGCCTGAGAAGAGCAAGAAAGAGATCAAAAGGGAAGCCCGGGCTTTGCTCAGAACGCATCTTAATCTGGGTAAGAGAGAAATGGGGGAATGAACAAGGACCTTCTGTAATAAGGCTAATAATATTCAACAGCAGTTACTACTACTTTTTTTTGTTTGTTTTTTTGAGACGGTCTCCCTATGTAGTTGAGTCTGACCTGGAACTCACTATGTAGCCCAGGCTGATCTCGAACTCACAGCGATCCGCCTACCTCAGCCTCCTGAGTGCTGGGATTACAGGCATGTGCCAACATGCCTGGCAGCGGTTACTACTTCTAAGGTGGTTTATTTTTCTTTTTACAGAGGACAGATCTTGGGTGATGGAGAATTTTTCTCCTCTGTGTTCCATTTTGCTCCTGGAAAATGTGAAGAGCACCACCATAAGCTTCTTAGCCAGCCATCCGGGTTTATCTACCATCTTCGTACAAGAGGTATGACCAGCTTTCATGCAGAGTTTTGCTACTAACCTGTGTCATGGGTGTGTGGGACCAATGTTCTCTGGAAGAGCGGTCTGTCCTGTTGGCGTGGTAAGTCTGGCAGAATACAACACACGCCTGCAGTTAGGTGGTGGACCGTTTGGCAAGGTAAATCATGAAAACTGGCTCTCCCCTTTTTCAGTTTGTTCCCAGCCAAAGCCACCATTCATATGGTAGTTGGTTTTTTGGGAGTGGTCTTGTTTTTGTTTTTGTTGATTGTTTTGGTGCTAGGGATTAAATCCAAGGTCTTCACACTGAGCAACAACCCAGTCCTTTTTATTTTTATTTTGTATTGTAGATCAAACTCCTTTGCAATTGCAAGGCAGGCGCTGGTACCACTGAGCTAAATTCCTGGCTAATCCTTTTTACTTTGAGCCAGGGTCTCACTAAGTTGCTGGCTGGGCTCTAACTTGCAATTCTCCTGCCTCAGCATCCCAGAGTGCTGGGATTACTGCCATGTACCACCACACCTGGTTTCATGTGGTAGCTGGTTCGTGATAATCTTTTTTTTTTTTTCTGAATTATAAGTGAATAATTAAATGTGCCTGCACTCCATCTCTTGTTCCTCATCTCTGATCTTTGCTGGCCGTGTTAGTTTCTGGAAGTCAACTTCCATGGCTGTAACTTGTTCTCTGAGAGCTGTCAGGAGCAGTGGATGGGCTGGATGTGAGGGGAGAGAAGAACCACAGAGCCTAGGCTACAGCTCAGGGGAGGACATGGGCTTAGCATGAGTGAGACCCTGGGTTCAGTCCCCAGCCACACTGGGGCTCATGGGCCTAACCGCCCTGGTGCACGGAATTGCCATGAACTGAGACAGGGCCTGCACAGTAGCTGGATTCTTTCTGCTGCTGTGGAGCAGCTATTAGACATCTGGCTGAAGACCAGGCAGTGAGCTGAGTCCAGGGAAGAGGTTGGGAGCAGAGGTGGTGTGGCATGGAGGGCGAGGGTGTAGGCAGCAAGGCGTGGGCGCCAGGACCAGGTGCTGGCACTCAGGAGGAGGCTGGGCAAGGATGAGGGCTGCAGATGAGCCTGGGAAGGCACAGGCACGGGGTTGGAGAAGCCCAGGACCAGAGGGCAGAGGGAGACGGCTCTCCATGGTAAGAGGAGGCCCAAGGGAGGAGAGTGCAGCTGGCTGGCTGGGCCGGAGTGCTTTCAGCCGGAGTGGCAGGTCAGGCTCTGGAATAAGAAGGGCTCGGGATGGGAGGAGCAGTGAAGCATCATCTTGGGCTGTGGAGTGAGAAGCGAAGCAGTGGTTAGGCCCAGGGTGACAGAGGGCGGTGCTCCGATGCGGTGAAAATCTCCAGGCCAGAACAGCAGATGGCCCTGATCCCAAGGAGAGGGAGAAGTGCTCTAGAGGGGAGCGCGCTGGGGCCGCAGAGGCTACCATGCCATGAGGGCCCCTGGTTCCCGGCTGGACAAGGGGGACTCTTCCAGGTTTCCTGGGACAGGGGAGATGACTGAGGTCAGGACAGCGGGGAGCAGGCACAGGTGGCATCTTGCAGGGGAGGTGGAATGAGCTCAGCTGTGTGGTTGCATTTTAACTACATGGCTGGCAGCATGATCTGGGCCACAGAGCGGAAACGGAATTCCCAGTTCCTATACCTTTGCCACCTGACAGGAGTGTTCCGAATGCCATGGGTCAAATCTGCTCTTTTTTAAAATTTCAATTGTTTTTCTCCTTCCTTTTTTTTGTGTGTGTGGAGGGGTACTGGGAATTGAACCCAAGGATGTTCTACCACTGAGTGAAACCCCAGCCCTTTCCCTTTTGGTGGGGGGGCTGGGGTTTGAGACAGGGTCTCACTATGTAGCGCAGGCTGGCCTGGACCTTCTGGCAATCCTCCTGCCTCAGCCTCCCCACTGCTGGGATTACAGGTGTGCACTACTGCACCCTATTGACTTTTTCTTACCTTCGCTCCTTTACTCATTTCCATGCCTCCTTCTCTGGAGCCTCCTTCAGAAGCAGAGTCAGCCTGGGAGAGAGTGTAAGCTACAAGAGCTACAGGAGTGGAGTTGACAGGATTGGCGGCTGGGTGGATTTGGGGACAGTGAGGAGGAGCCGGATTCAACTTGCATATCGCCCAGCTGTGTACAGCTTACGAATTTAGCACTGAAGAAGAGAGCGTGCGCTGTCTTCTCATCCCTTGTTTGGATTGCATTTCAGAAGGACGCTTCCCAGGTTACTTCTGAGTGTTTAGTCTTGGGTTCTGTTGGCATCAAAAGAGAGAAGAGGAAGAAAGGCCTTCAGTTAACAGAGAGCACCCTGGCGGCCCTGGAGGAGTTAGTGAGTGTGTCCTGCGGTGAGTGACGCTGCTGTGAACCCCAGAGGAGGCTCTGCACCTTGGGCCCCAAGAGCCAGGCTCATAGGCCGGTGCTTGTCTCCCTCCCCAGAGGATGCGGACGGCTGCCCCATCATGCTAGTGTGTGGCGCTCAGGACCTGGGCAAGTCCACGTTCAACAGATACCTAATCAACCAGCTGCTAAACAGGTGAGCGCCCCTCCCGCAGGCGGGTGGAAGCAGGGTGTGTGGGCTGCGGCAGGGGCGCCCCACCCCTGCACCTGTCCTGGCTCCCCTTGTCCAGTGCCATCTTAGCGTGCGGGCTCAGGGGCGGGATGGGTCTGGCTGTGCAGGACAGCCCGAAGTGCGTGTCGTGGACGGCACTGTGCCCCTGCATGGCTGCGTTCATGGCCTGTGCAGCCTAAAAGGCCACGTGAAGAGGCCTATTCCTGTGTGTGCTCAGACTCCTTGACATCCTGTGTTTCTTTTTTGAACAGTAAAGCTCAGTGAAATTTTTGTCTTAATGAAAACTTTCAGTATTCCCTGCGTTGACTACTTGGAATGTGATTTGGGGCAGACGGAATTCACTCCCCCTGGCTGCATTTCTCTGCTGAATATTACAGAGCCAGTTCTGGGTAGGTGCTGCCCGCCTGTTTCTTGTGTGTCTCAATCTTACAAAATTCAAAAGTAATAGGGCCGGGGATTTAGCTCAGTGGTTCCTCTGCCTGCCTACAAGTGCAGGGTCCTGAGTTCTATCCCCAGAACCAAAGTAGTAGTAGTAGTAATAATAATAATAATAGTACTTATCTAAAACACAGGGTAAAATAGGAAAACTAGATTGGCCCCTACCACACTCATGGGCCTTGTGGGTGGTTTTCTTTGGTTTTCTTTGTTTTGTTTTTTTTTTTTTGAGACAAGCTTTCACTGCGTAGCCCAGGCTGGCCTCAAACTTATGGCAGTCCTCCTGCCTTGGCCTAGTGCTGGGATCACTGGCATGTGCTACCATGACCAGCTAATTGTTTTTGATTAAAGGCTCCTTTCCCCTCTAAAAAACAAAATAGGGTGTGTTTCCATTTTAGAAAATGGAACTGTTGTTTTATGTAGATTAGAAGCAAACTCTACCTGATACTAATATCTTTAGGGTTTTTTTCTTATTGTTTTGTTTTCCCCCTTGTACTGGGAATTGAGCCCAGGGCCTTCTTGCTGAGCTACATCCCCAGCCCTTTTTATTTATTTTTTTATTTTTATTTACTTATTTATTTATTTATGTTTGTTTTTTGAGACAAGGTCTCACTGTGTAGTTCAGACTGCTCTGGAACTCACTGTGTAGCCCAGGCTGGTCTCTAACTCTCAGCAATCCTTCTACTTCAGCCTCCCAAGTGCTGGGATTACAGCCGTGCATCACCATGCCCGGCTTCCCCAGCCCTTTTTAAATATCTTTGGACTTCAAGAAAGTGTCTTATGGTGTTGTCCAGGCTGAGTTTGGATTTGGATCCTCCTGCCTCAGCCTCTCAAGTGCTGGGATTACAGTGTACACTTCCACACCTGGCAAGATGATGATTTTACATTCCCGCAACTTCCACTTCGTGTGGTGCTCTTCTGTGGGGAAATTTTTATTATGTCTTGGATTCATAGCTGCTCATCATGTTAATGCTTGATTGTCCCAGATTTGGCTTGGGGAAGTCCCTTCCTGTTGTCACCAGGTCCTCTTGACACTGCTCTGACCTTTTTTTTTTTTTGAGACAGGGTCTCACTGACCTGGAACTCACTATCACTATGTAGCCCAGGTTGGTCTCGAACTCACAGCGAGCCTCCCGAGTGCTGGGATTACAGGCGTGTGCCACCACGCCTGGCCTGCTTTGACCTTTTTTAAGCTCCCCCTTTTTCCTGGCTAGAAGAAGGTTCTGTTCTCATTGCGTGCTTTCCCTCTGCCCGGCCTGCATGTGCCCTGGCTCCTTCTAGTGGAGGAAAGATCCAGATCCAGGGGCATTGCTTTCCCCTGAGCATGACATCCGGGCCCCTTAGTGAACAGGCAGGAAGTAGTGAAGTGTGTGCCTGTGTGGGAGTTACGCACACCTGACCCTGCACGTCCCTGGGGACTTGAGTGTCTCACTGACACCTGTAGAGTTGCATGGGAGCCCAGGCTATAGTCCAGTCCCTGTCCTGGCCCACTCTCACTCATCACCGCCTATGGCTCTGTCCTCACTCGAGCAGTTCTTGTTGCAGCAAATGAAATGTGGGAGGGTTGTTAGTTCTAATGCTAGGGATTTTAATTAGTGCATTAATTTTTGAAAATAGACTCACTGTGTAGTTCAGCCTGGCCTCAAACTCGAGGTAATCCTCTTGCCTCAGCCTCCCGAGTGCAGGGATCCCAGGTGTGTGGTGCCACACCAGGCCTGGAGAGCTAGTCCAGATCCGCACCCATCCCCCTGCTTACCCTCCCCTCTGTCGCCCAGGACCCCCTTATACCCACCTGAGGACGCCGCAGAAGATGGTGTATTACGGGAAACCTTCCTGCAAGGACAACTTCGAGAATTACATCGATATCGTCAAATACGTGTTCAGCGCCTACAGAAGAGAGGCCCCGCTGATCATCAACACAATGGGCTGGGTGTCGGGTAAGCCCGCGGGCTTGCGCCCTCGCTGGGTGCCTCACACCCTGCTGTGATAGGTCGCACTCTTCATGTACCACTGTGTCCCTTCCCTCCGCATTTCCACCCAGATTGGGATTGCTGCCTTGTGCACCAGCTCTGCTCTATTCTCTTGTTTTTCTGCTTTTATGTATTTATTTTTGGTACTGGGGATCGAACTCGGGAACTCGCACTTGGAGGCATGCAGTAGTGTGTTCTGTTTTGTTTTGGTTTTTTTTGGTACTGGGGATTGAACTTGGGTCCTTGTGCTTTGGAGGCAGGTGGCTGGCAGAACCACTGAGCTAAATCCCTGGCCTTCTGTGGTAGTTTTAGAGATAGGTTCTCCTTAGCATTCCTAGGCTACTCTAAATCTTGCAGTTTTCCTGCCTCAGCCCCAGGCAGCTGGGCTTGCAGGCAGGCATGTGCCATGCCCAGCAAACAAGCTGGCTTTTGTCTTGGGGTTGGGTGCTGTGCTGTGCCTGGGCCACTCATGGTGTCCCTTTCGCAGATGAAGGCCTCCTGCTGCTCATCGACCTCATCCGCTTGCTGTCCCCCAGCTATGTGGTGCAGTTCAACTCCTACAAGAGCAGGAACCTGCCGGCCCTCACCCCGGACCACGTGGCCGACAGGGATGGCCTGTACACCAAGAGCAAGTCCAGGGCCAGGCACCCGGGCTTCCGCTTCCCAGAGCTGGCGGATAGCCTGGAGTTCGCCGAGGAAGAGAAAGACAGCCCGGTTCTCTTTACTGGGCACAAACTACTGTCTGTGCGTTCGGAGTTTTCATTCAGAAAAACTTCAAGGAATCGGTGAGTAAAGCACCATTCAGCTGAGGAAGGAGGGAGGAGGCCTGCGGTGTGGCCAAGCGCAGAGGCCCTGGGTCCTGCTCCACAGGACCCTGCGTGCTTTGGCAGGTGGTTTGTGCATGTGAAGGGATGGGAGGTCCATCCCTTTTTTTTTTTTTGTACTGGGGATCAAACTGGGGTCCTTGTGCTTGTGAGGCAGGCAGCGGAACCACTGAGCTCAATCCCCAGTCCTGGGAGGTCCATACTTAATGGTGTCCTGGCTTCATTTTCAGGGACTCATACAACAGGATTTTTCGAGACCTGGCAGTGCTGGCTTACCTTGCCCAGCTGCTGCCCCCAGTGCCCAAGCCGCTCAGTCCCCTGCACGGCCTGACACCCTACCAGGTAGTGGCAGCTCGGGGGAGGCCATCAGTTTTGCTTGTCAGTCCTCGGGAGCCCTTAGTCCTCAGCACCCTGTGACTGGGTCCTGTGATCAGCCTGTTACCAGGTGGAGCAACGACTGCTGAGTGGCTGCAGCTCATGGGCAGCGTTACTCAGTTTCCCCCTAGACCCCGGAGCAGTACCAACTGCGTAGGGTGGATATAGGGAGTGGCCAGCGTTCCTGGTGGCGCCTGGCAGTCTGAGCATGCTCCTATGTCCCCTGTTACTGTGGTCAGGGCCTGATGCCAGAGTGTGTGCAACCCGAAACCCAGGCTACTAGTTGTTTTGGATGAAATGAGAGTCAAAATACTGGAGGCTGAGGTGGGAGGAGTGTCATGAGTTCTGGGCCAGCCTCAGCTTCCTATCGAATCCTGTGTCAGGGAAGGAGGAGTGGCTCACAATGCCATTGAGTAGCATTTCTGCTACCTTGGTGCAGGATGTAAACTCAGGGCCTCGTGCCTGCTGCCTACTGAGCAGCCCCTTGCCTGCTTGCATCAGAAGTGCCCCTGCTACTGCATATGTTCACAGATGGTAGAATCAAGCCCAGCGCCGAGTGCCCACCACATGGCTACTAGGAGCCTGGGCTGGGCTTTGAAATCCACCCGCCCATGGGGTTATTTTCCTTTTAGTTTTTTAC